CCGCATCATCATCATTATCATCATCATCATCATCAGCATCGTCATCATCATCATCAGCATCCTCATCATCACCATCATCATCAACAGAGGTATCAGCAACATCGAGGGAGCACACGAGAGAGCACCCTGCTCCTCGGGGCCTACCAGTTATGACAAGGCCAGTAAAGACTAAGCATGGTCATCAGGAGATGGCGCAACTTATGCCTCAAAGACAAGAGATAATAGCGACAATCCTGGAGTCAAACGCAAGAGCTAAAAGCACGGACGAGACGAGCCGCGCACACAGAAGTACATAGGGTCCGCAAATCCAAGACCATCAACCAGGGTCATCAACTCCAAACCACAGCACGTCAAAGCAGCGGAACAAGGACTGGCACACTGACAATGCTAAAAATTCAGAATGACCAGCCAGCAAGCCCCAAAAGCCCCAAAAAGAGTTTGCAAGCGTAGGCCAATAGGGGTTCGTCTGGAGCAGCACCTGGCTGTCGGATCCCTCGCTCGTTGCCGAGATCCCCTCCTCATCCTTTTCTTCTGGATCCTTCTTCGTCAGAGCTCTTCCTCCTGATCCTCGTCGCTCCTCCTCCTCCTCCTCCTCCTCCTCCTCCTCCTCCTCCTCCTCCTATTCCTCATCCTCCTCCTCTCCTCCTACTCCTCCGCCTCTTCTTCTTCCTCTTCCTCCTCCTCCTCGCTCCTCCCCTCCCGCCTCCTCCCGCCCCCCCCCCCCCCCATCCCCCGCTTTATCGAGCCCCAGTGGGAACACCATAATATCAACATCGGCAGTGCCTCCTACTCCTCCCCCTCCTCTTCCCCCTCGTCATCCCCCTCCCTATCCACTCTGAGCTCCCGATCGCGCTTACAAGCCGCAGCGCCTGCGCAAGTACCTCGCTCGGGATCCTAGCCGTGGCGTCGCGGCGCGCCATGTCGACCGTCGCGGTCGCGAGCGCCATGGCCGCGGCACGGGCCGCGGGCGGGGCCATGGCGCCGCGGCCAGTGCATGGCGCGCACGCGCGCGCGCTGCGAGCATAATCGACGAGGGATGAACAGCGGATCGATTCGCGAGAACAGGATTCCAACAATCACCATCGACAGATGCATGGCTGCGATCTGGATTTCTCCTCCTCCTTCTCCTCCCTCCTCCCCTGATCATCCTCCTCCGCCTCCTCCCCTTCACTTCCCCTCCCCTGCTCCTCCTCGATCCTCCTCCTCCTCCTCGATCCTTTTACTTTTCCTCCTCCTTCCTCTTAAGTCTCATTCCCTCCTCATCCTTCCTCCGCCCTTCCCCCCTTGCACCTCCTCCCCGTCGACGCTCTTAGATCTGGCTGTCGTGCGCATGCTCAGCGCTGCCCGTGTCGATCGTCGCGAGACTGTCCACGCTGCCCGTGTCGATCTGGCTGCTTGGCGGCGCTTGCCATGCGCGCGCGTGCTGAGCGCTGCCCGCGTCGATCGTTTGGATCCCGACGGCGCCGAAAACAATGATGATGCCGACGCGGCGGCGGGCGCCGCCAGCCAGATCGACGCGGGCAGCGCTGACGCGCAGGCGCTAGACAACCAGATCGACACGGACATGGTTGACGCTGCAGGCGCCAAACAGCCAGATCGACACGGGCAGTGCTGATGAAGCGCCAATCGACAGCCAGATCGACACGGGCATCGCTGAGCAGGCGCCAAGCAGCCAGATGATCGACGCCATGGGCAGCGCAAGCGCTCGACTCGATCGACGATCTACGATATCTCATGCTCGCTGCTACTGCTGCTGTGCACGGTGGCTGGCGATCGGTTCGCATTGCGCTGAAAAAGGGAACCCAATCCACTGTGGAGTTCGCCCCACCACCGACAATCACGGGTAAAATATCGGGCCATATATCTTCGAAGGGATCCCCAGGGATCGATGAGTTGAAATTCTGTATTGATATATATATATATATATATTGATGCTCTCGATGTTTACGGAATGAATTTCCACGTCGTTTGGGAGGGTTTCGGGGAGATTGCCTGCTTCCGTTTGGCCCAAGCTGATTTAAAAAAGGATTGCCCAATTCGACGTGAGGGTGGGGGCGGGGTTCACATGCTAGCCGCTAGCCTACTATATTGCCGTCGTCGATATCACGATCGCACAGTATAGCAATTTTGACCCAAACATAATTTCGAGGGAGACCATCAGAACTCATGACGACGCGCGTTCTCAACAAAAATCAATACAATGCAACAAAAATCAACACACCCGCGCAGAAATCATGACATCTCCCGAAAAATCACGACACTGGCTAAATATCAACACGTTTGAAAATAACCAAAACATGGGTTCATAATCAATACGTTTGAGGCGTCTTGAAAAAATCAAGACGTCGGATCTCAGGGTCTTCGGGGCGAGAAAAAGAAAGAAACCAGAACCGGAACCGGAACCAAAACCGAAACCGTGACCAGGGAGTCTTTCTTCGAGGCCAAGAGAAGAAGGAAACCGGAACCAAAACCGAAACCAAAACCGGAACCGTGACCTGGGGGGTCTTCTTCGAAGACAGAAGAAGAAGGAAACCGGAACCGAAACCGGAACCGTGACCAGGGTGGTCTTCTTTGAGGCGAAAAGAAAAAGGAAACCGGAACCGGAACCAAAACCAGAACCAGAACCGTTACCTGGAGGGTGCTCTTCAAAACCCCGAAGAAGAAGGAAACCGGAACCGGAACCGGAACCGGAACCAAAACCAAAACCTGACAGTCTTTTTCAGGCCTGGAAGAAAAAGGAAACCAGAACCAGAACCAGAACCGGAACCGTCACCAAAGGGGCCTTTTCCAGCCCCGCAAAAAGAAGGAAACCGGAACCAAAACCGGAACCGGAACCGGAACCAGAACCGGAACCGGAACCAGAACCGGAACCGGAACCAAAACCGGAACCAAAACCGGAACCGGAACCAGAACCAGAACCAAAACCAAAACCAAAACCACCACCAGAACCATACTGGATCCGGTGGATCCGCTGGATCCGCTGGATCCGGTGACGAATCCCAAACCGGCGCCCTCGCTTGAGACATCCTCACAAAACCGGCCCCGGGGGAGGTGCCCAGAGGAGCCCAGAGCGGCCTCCGGCACCGTTTCCGGACAGATCCGCTGGATCCGCTGGATCCGCTGGATCCGGTGACGAATCCCAAAACCGGCGCCCTCGCTTGAGACATCCTCACAAAACCGGCCCCGGGGGAGGTGCCCAGAGGAGCCCAGAGCGGCCTCTGGCACCGTTTCCGGACAGATCCGGTGGATCCGGTGGATCCGCCGACGAATTCCAAACCGGCGCCCTCGCTTGAAACATCCTCACAAAACCGGCCCCGGGGGAGGTGCCCATGGAGCCCAGAGCGGCCTCCGGCACGGGGAGGGGGTTTTTTTTTCCGTACAGATTATCCGCTGAATCCGCTGGTCCTGTGACGAAATCCCAAAACCTGCGCCCTCGCATGAGTACCATCCTCACAAAGCCGCTCCGGGAGGTGCCCCAGAGGAGCCCAAGCGCAATCCGTCACCAGTTTCCGGCAGTCCGGGAACAGATCCGGTGGATCCGCGCCCCCGGGGGTGCCCAGAGAGTAATGAGTAGAGGAGGAAGTTAGGAGGAGGAGGGGTTCGAAGTCAAGGGGGTTGGCTGTGGGAGGTAGGATGAGGAGGAATTAGGATGATTGGACTGCGGGGTGGAGGAATGACAGACGGAAGGGCAAGAGAATGATGGAGGAGGAGGAGGAGGAGGAGGAGGGGGAGGAGGAGGAGGAGGAGGAGGAACCTCATCACCCTCGCCAACAAGCGCACGCACCTTCTTCTATATACAGAAACTCCCGATCAACCGCAGAGCGGCCGGCTAGTAGAGAAGGAGAACGCTGGAAGAGGGGGTTCGAGGAGGAGGGGGGGGGGGGGCGTGCCCCCGCGAGGTGACGACGGAGAGCCAGTTCAATGAATTCATTAAGCAGGCTGGCAAGCACGAGGAGGCGCTCTCGGACCTCGTGGAAGGCTTCAAGAGAAATCTCGCCGCTGTCCACCAATCAGTCAGGAGTGAGGTGGGCTCGAGGGCCTCCAACGAAGCCAAGGGGCTGGCGGTTTCTGGCCAGAAGGCGAAGACCTACGTGGAGGACTGGAGCCTCCTCCTCATCCTCCTCCTCCTCAGGCCTAGTGGAGGGGCCTTCCTCGGGCCACCCCCCCTCCACTGTCAGAACGCGCCTCCCTTCGGGGGGGCTCAGCGTCGCCGCTGGCCTTTTGTGCTGCTCAGGGGGCTTGGGTTGGAGTTATATCGCTCTTGCTCACCTTTTGCAGTAGTGCAGGGGTCAGGTTTTGCTGCTTCGAATTGCCTATGGTGACTGCCGTATCTCATTCAGATCCCCCTCTGCCGAGTGGAGGATCTTGCGAAAATGATATCCAAGGTTGCCGCTGGTGGCGCTGTGCCGATCAAGGACCTCTTCAGCGACGGCAAGGGGGTGATTGGCTGCAAATGCGTGGTGAGCGTGGCCATGGGGGGCCTCGAGAACGCGTTGCAGAGGAATGCCCCGATCTTGGTGCAGGTGTCTGGCCCAGCTGATACACAACAGGGGCGAGCGGTAAGTCTTGCCCAAATTCTCGGCGCCTTGCGCGCCCCCGCCAGCCAATCAGAGACGATGCCCATGTGTCCACGCGAGTTGCCTCGTTCAGGGAACAGTAGGAGCATGAATCATAGAGTAGCAACGTGGTTTGAGCAGCACTTTTGGCAAACAGGTGAGGAAGGTGGCGGAGGAGGAAGCGGAGGAGCAGGCAGAGGGTTGGGGGTGTCTGGCGTCTTGGGGGCAGCTTGAGCGACCTTCGGCGTCGTCGTGGGCTCCTCGGGGCCCTTCGCGGACCATCCTGGGATATCTTGGGCGTCCTGGCCAGTGGGCCAGTCGTGCCCCCTCCTCCAAGCTTCCTGCGATGCCCCGCCCCCCTCCCCGAATGGGGAAGACGGGGGTTGGTTGGCAGAGCTCGGGGTTGCGGTCGCCAACGCCTGGACTGGTCAACCGCCTGGCCAGGGGACCGCCGTCGATGCCCTCAAGGCCAAGCTTCAGGGGGATTCAACCGCGGCCGAGATCCTGACCCAGCGGTGCACGCAGACGCGGCTCGCTGGCGAAGGGAAGAAGCAAGCCCCCGTCCCCGACCGTCTCTCGAAGTCGTTCGAGGCCGTGTTCAGAGAGTTCCACGGTTGTGAGAAAGAATGGGAAGGCGGCGCGCCCCCTTCCAATGAGGAAATTGAGGAGGAGAAAGATGCGGAGTGCAGTGGAGGGTGCGAGATAGAGGAGGCTGGAGTACGCGTGCGGAGGAGAAGGAGAAGGAGAAGGAGAAGGAGGTGATGATGGAGGAGGATGGCAAGGCAGAGTTGCTCACGGGTTCGGGTCTGATCAGAGTATTGTGCGGATTGTTTCACATGTTGCCTAAGTTTGCGGCAGCCTCACCGCGGGCATTCATAGTAGCCGCCGTGATTCCGCACTTTACCTTCACGATTGTCTACGGAGTCGGGGCGAGCGTGCTCCTTAGATGCTGGGGCTGAAGCTGAATGCACAACCACTCGGCTTGCAGCACGATGGTGGCATCATTTTGCTGCCACACTCATGCTGCGGCCGCGCGCCCCCATCCTTTCATCCTTTCCCCCTGCGTTCATCCTTCTGGCGGCGCCCGCAGGCGCAGCATATCAGAAGGTGCGGGAGGCGATTTGCAGGCCTTACTTGTACTACTCCAGCGGCGGGTTCTTGCACGTTGGGTCCGAGAGGAGCTGTCTGCCCAGCGCGCGGTTCCAGTTTCATGGGACCAGGCAGCTCGTGCTCTTGCACCTCTCGGACGCGCGTGCACAAGCGTCTAAACGGTTAGACGGGGACTGGCGAATGCCGAATATGCCGATGTTGACTTGGGGCAGGATGGTGAGGGGGGGGGGGGGGGGGGGGGGGGGCAGAGAGAACCCAGGACCCAGGATGCATCAACGATGCTGCTATACACCCTCCTCTTGGTATCGGTTCCAGGGAGGAGAAGGAGGAGGGGCAGGATGCGGAGGAGAATTATATGGGCATTGGCGTGGCTCATTTTGGTATGTCCCCCAACCCGCCTGTCCTGGGCTTCTTTCCGAGGCTTCCGACGGCGTCGGAAACTTCGAGGGTTCAGACGGATTCCGACGGCGTCGGAAATTTCGGTTCTCATGCACGTGGACACTGCAGCCGCCATCGAGTTGGCCCCTGGCATTGCCCACCCCAGGGCTATGGACGTTTGTCTCGTTCAGATTGCTCGATACCTTCCTTTCGTGGCTCGGCAGTCGTGCACTGTTGAGCTAGACGGGGGGGGGGGGCTCGGAGGGGCAGGACGACGACGATAATGATCAGTCAGCTTCGCATCGCCAGGACTGGATGAATTTCCTCAGCAGGAACAAGCAGGACCAGGAGGCGACAGACTACAAGTATATCATGGACATGCTGAGGGCAGCCACGAAGGGCTTCGGGGACTGCGATGTGGAGCGCTACCAGGTCATCTAGATGGCGGGCCAGATGCTCTACATCCCAGCGGGCTTCATCGCGATCGAGAAGACCACCGTTGCGGCCATCGGCCTGAGGACGCGGTCGATGGGGGGTGAGAAGGACGAGGAGGATGCGGATACGGATGATGAGGGGGGGGGGGGGGGGGGGGGAGGGGGGGGGGGTTTTGAGGGGGGAATCGTACGAAACTGTGAGGTAAACTTGGGAGCATCGTGGGTAAAATGGGAATGCTGAGGAGGCAGTGGGGACGGCAAGTAGAGGAAGGTATTGGATGATGGGCGCACGGCCCGCCCTGCCTCCTGTCTTCCCTTACCCCAGGGTGCCAAAGGGGCGGGGCGATGCGCGCGCCCTCCTCCCCCTCGCCACCCGCCGCTGCCAGGATGCCCATCCCGAGCGTCGCGGGCGCGAAGGCCTTGGCTGACACAGTGAAGACGATCGAAAACTTGGTTCAGATTCCAGGGGCGCCTCGGAGCGTTCTGCGAAATCCCAGGGGGCGAGGAGGAGTAGCATGATGATGGCGACGCCAAAGGGTCTGAGGATGACAATGCGGATGCGGAGCGTGTTTGAGGGTCAGAGTGGGGGGGTGAGGAGCAGCGTGGGCGAGCAAAGCGTTTGAGGGATGAGGATTGTGAAGGTTCGGTAGTGGCGGCAGTGATGGCGATGCCTGTGGCAGTGATGATGCTGACATTGAGCACGATTAGCAGATGAAGATAATATGGCAACGACGGGGGTGACCGCCGATCCAGGTGCCAGACAAGATGCTGCTCGAGCACACGTTCAAGGTGATCGCCCCCATCGTGGCCAAGGAGAAGCGCACGGCCGACGAGGCGCAGCAGGCCATGCAGGCCGCGGGGCAGGACCGCCTCAAGGAGGCGGGTGCGAATGCCGAGGAGAAGCGCCCCACGGCCGAGGAGGAGCAGCAGGCCGAGGACGAGCGCAAGGCTTTGGAGGAGAAGGAGGCGGCGGAGGCCGAGGAGAAGCGCCAGGCCGAGGAGAAGCGCCAGGCCGAGGAGAAGCAGGCCACCAAGGCTTTGGAGGATCAGCGCCTCAAGGAGGCGGCCGAGGCCGAGGAGCAGCAGCGCCTCAAGGTGGCGGCGGAGGCCGAGGCAAAGTGCAAGGCCGAGGAGCAGCAGGCCATCCAGGCCGCGGAGCAGCAGCGCCTCAAGGAGGCGGCCGAGGCCGAGGCGAAGCGCATGGCCGAGGAGCAGCAGGCCATCCGGGCCGCGGAGCAGCAGCGCCTCAAGGAGGCGGCGGAGGCCGAGGCGAGGCGCAAGGCCTTGGAGGACCAGCGCCTCAAGGATGCGGCCGGGGCCGAGCAGGCAACCGACGCGCGCTCGACGCGCGGCGCCAGCGGCTCGGGGGCGAGTCGGGTGAGTGGCTCAGCCGCGGGATCGTTGAATTTCCTCGAGGTCTCGCGCGCCAGCCAGTCGAAGCACCACAAGAAGTAGGCGTGACAGCCCCGCGGCCCGCCCTCGCATCCTTCCCGTTTTCTTCCACCTCCGCGTCGCGCCCCCCTTCATCGCCTCTCGCCCTGACTCGTCCGTCTCCCCCCCCCCCTGCCAGCGAGCTTTACCCAGCTGAGGGCGGCGAGAGCTGCCCGTCCGCATCTGCTGCCGATCGCGGCTCGAGGTTGGGGCTCGGGCCTCAACATGGCTGCGCGAGGGCTGCGCGTCTTCATCCTCCCCTCCCTCCTTCTCCCGTCCAAGCTCAAGGCCGGGGGCTGAAGCCATTTTGGCTCAAGCCATTTTGGCTCAAGGCTCAAGGCCAGGGGCTGCTGGGGGGGGGCGGCCGCGGGGGGGCGCGGCTGCCATTGCTGCCTTCGTCTTCGTTGAGGTCAGCGAGATTGGTTCAATTTGGGTTTAATCAGTGGGATTTATCAGTGGGATTTCACTCTCATTGGTGGGAATTCGCGAATTTGCTGGGTTTTGTCAACTTGGCGCTTCATTTCATATTGAAGTTTGGATAACTGGAGCGCAAGTACACATTTCAGCCATGCCGGCCTTGCAGATTGGAGAAACCATGCAAAAACTCTTGTCTTTAGATATCGACAAGCAGAAAAGATTGAGAGACGACGCTCGGATGGCAGATGAAGATAAAGAAAATCAGCAAGAAGCCTCGAAAGCTATGAGAACATTGGCCGCCAAGGGTTCAGCGAAAGGTACGGGCCTGGGAGAGAATGGGTCAATTTCTTCAGGGGCTGTCTCAACAGCCACAGGTACTGACGGTTTTTTGGTGCAACTCGAGTCGCTCCTCGATAAAAAGATTGCTCCTATAAAGGACCGTATCGACTCACTACAACTTGATGTTCTGGGAACCCAAAAGGCCTTGGCCCAGGAATTTTCAGTTGCCGTCACCCTGATCAACGACCATGAGGTAAAGCTCGCCAACCTTGAGGCAGGTGAGACGGAGGTGCAGAAAGCCTTCAACGAAAGGATTCTGGCGGTCGAACTGGAGCAGAAGTCTCTGCGCGCAGAAATGGCGGCAAAACAATTGGAAAGCCAGTCAAGCCAGGGTCCCTCCAGGAAAAAGGGTCCGCCTTGGGCCAGCACCCCAAGAGCAGATAGAGACATCTTCATTCTCACTAACTTGGGATGGAATCTTAAAAAGCAGGATGCTCTGGAAAAGGCGCGAGCGGTCTTGCGCCGAGCAGATGTTCCCCAGCCCACGCATATTGTTGCTCCTTTTGGATATGGGAGCTGCGTTGAGATCAAGTGGAGCTCGGTAACGGTGGGACTTCAAGCGGCAGCCACGATCCGTGATCTCAAGATTCCTGGGCACTTAGAAAATTTGATCTGGTGTGGACAAATTAGTACTAAGGAGGAGCGGGGCCCAGTAAAATTGTTCAAGACAGTTTCTAGTGCACTGGAAAAGGCAATGGGAGACCGCTCAGACAGTTACGCGATTTGCTCTCGGACCCGAAAATTTTTTGTCTTGGATCATCAGATTGGTGTTATCAAGGATGGGGAATTTCTGTGGCACGAGTCTCTTAAGGAAATCCCCGATGAAGCGCTCCGCAAGACGCTGAAAGACACCATCGACGAGGCACTCTCTCTTTGAGAGGCCTACGTGAGGGGCCTCGTTTGTGCACTCAATGTGCAAGGCAAGTGGGCAGACGAGACCCTAATGCAAGCCAACTTAGATTTGCTCGAGCTGAAGTGCTGGGGCTTAATTTGTATCCTAGAGGCGGATTTCAAGGGCTGCCTTCAAAACGATGGGCTTCTTCGCCCCGTTTTCAATGGCCACGCTTACTACCGTCATCATCCTGGCCCTGGGCGTAGGGCCATGGGCGTGCTCGTGCACAAATCTCTGAGAAAACGTGTGAAAGACATTGTCTGCGATTGGAGATCTATCCGCGTTGATCTTCGTCCTGACTGTCTCGATGGATGCCACCATCATGCCAGATCCTTTCTCTTCTCTCATCTTGCCCATGATTTTTTCCATGATTCTCTTAACTGCGCCATCCAACTCGGTCGATCCCGCCCTGTCGGGTCCACTCTCTCCTGGTTGGGGGACATGAACGCAGATCAAGGCAACGGAGACCAAAAAATTCGATCGTTCTGCGAAGCCTGCTCCTACCTCGACCTCCATTGGTGCCCTCTCAGGTTTCAGGAGACTTCCATGCAATTCACAAGGAAGCCCGATGGTGAACAGGCGCTCTCCCAAGCCAACAGCACGATCGATCACATTGCTCTCGCCAGGGGTGATCTTTCTTCTGACTGCTTCGCCTGCTGGGCGGGCGTCCCTGGGGACCATGCCCTCATCGGATGTGATGTCCTGGCCTTCCCTCAGCGGGCCCTTAAGAGAAGACCGCTCCTTTGGACGCCTACAAACATTTTGGAGGTCAGGAAGATTGCCCAGGGTCTGTTTCCCGAATCAGCGGAACTTATTCGTCTAAATGACGAAGAACAGCCCGATTCATGTGCGGTAAGGTATCACGATCCAAGGGACCTTACCCTCTCCTTCGATTTCTGGGAAAACATGTTGGGACAGGTGTATGAAGCGACTCAGGCCCTCCCTAGGAGTTTTAGGAGATTTGCCGAAGAGCCATTTTGGGTCAAGAGTCTCAGGACACGGTTCAACTCCGAACTTAACGAAGCCTCGAGGGTCGCCTTGGGTCAGCTCCTCTTGAAAGCGCTCAAGATAACGAAACTTCAACGTGAATTGGCCCAGGTTGCGCTCAACGCCTCTCAAGGAAAACGAGTCTGGGCCTCACGCAAGTCTCTCCTACCCATTTTGGGTTTCTGTGTAGATCAAGTCAAGATTTTTGAAGTGGACCGCTGTACCACACTGGTTGCTGAAGAATACAGAGAGAGGTGGGGACTCTCAGAATCGGAGCGCCAGGAGGACATCGCCTGGCTCCGATCTTTGGGTTTTTTTTCAATTTCTACGACGACCCCATCATCCCTGCCTTGCTAGAGGACGCGCTGGACGACATCAAGGCCCCCCGAAAGATCGACACAGAGTTTGCCTGCACGGCTGTTATAAAAGTTTCGGGCTGGTCCCAAAGGCTCACGGGGTGTATACAAGCCTGCTTAGGCAACCCTGAATTCTGGAACGACGTCACATTCGGGGGCCACCTGGGTAACAAGATCAAGGGTTTTGGAACCCCTTCTCAAACTAGAGTTGTTATTCCTCAGCCTGCTATTGCCAAGATTGGGCACGCATATGTGGCGAGGGCCATTCTGCCAGTTCTGGATTCATACACTGACTCCAAAGGTCTCAAGGGCCTGATTTTTGGGTTAAGCAAAGGTGGACAATTACAAGAGCTTCACACGAGTGTCTACCACATTTTAGAATATGGGCGAGATCACTTTAACAAAGGAATGGTTGGGATGACAGATATCAAAGCTCACCACGATCAGATTCGTTATGGAATGGTTTTACGGAGCTTATTGGGACGGGGAGTTCCTCTTTTCTTAGCGGTGGGCTGCATCAGGTTGCACAGGAACCCTCGAGTTTCCATTTCTCTTCTGGACTCAAACACTGGGATTATCCAAAGAGACCGTGGGTTGATGCAAGGAGCTGGGACAGCTTGCATACTGGCGCGCGTTTCTGTAGAAGATTGCTTCGCCTCCACTTTGGAGAAAATTACACATTCTTCTTTGGGAATCTCCATTCGCTGCGAGCAGTTGGGCTTTGACTTCAGGATTGCTCTTCTCAGCTGGTCAGATAATATCTTTGTAGTGGCGTCCTCGGAACAGGATCTTGCAACTCTGACCGCTCTGGTAGAGTCGGAGTTATGGAATGAACATCGGCTCAAGCTCAAAGACGATCGGGAAATCCTTCCGGCCTATCCTTACCTCTTTCAAGGATACAAGTGGTCTGACCCCTTCGGGAAAACTTGGTCTGTGGTACCGGAGGCCAAGGTGCTGGGCCCTGTTCTCACCGCCACTGGCTCCTGCCACGAAGATGTCAAGCGGGGTATTTCACAGATCAACAAAGCCTTTTGGGCTAACAGTAAATTCTTGATTAACGAGCATATCCCCATGTCTAAACGCCTCTCTAAACTGAACTGCATGGCGGGAGGGATTATACGATCCAGAGGTGCTGCCTGGGTACCCTGTAAGACGACGGCGGATTTGATTACTAAGGCACAGAATCAATGTATCAGGATCATGTTGAAACTCAAAAGGCTCCCAGGGGAATCCCCAGAACAATTCAGTCTACGCAGAAATCGTAAAACCAAGGGGTTCAAAGAAGTTTCTTGGGCTATTTTCCATTTGGACTCTGCCATTAGTTGGGTTTCACACATGCAAAGACATCCAGAAGATTTTTCGTCGAGGCTGTTTCAATATTGCAAGCATTGGGTCATTCAGAATCGCTCCTTTGACCACTCTGGTGGCAGCCGTACCCACTCCCGCTCGCATAGGGGGTACGTTTTCAGGTATGATAAGGATGCCTGGACCACCTTATTTTCTCCGCAGGGTTCTCGGGACAAAAAGTTTCGTTTGGGCCTCGCCAAAGAAATGCTCGATTGGGTTCGGCAATCGCTTCACCTTCGCCTTCAGTAGCCATCGGCTCTGTCTGGTGCATCCAGACACACTTCGGTATCGCACTGCGCCCATTGGGGCTCTTTACTTTCACCACGGACACCTGTTACTCTCAGGACCTGGATTGGACTGGGAATCAGATTCAGCCAACTATCCCTCTTTTCTTTGGCTTCGACCGCCACGCCTTAGATCGTCGGGCCCGCAATCGTCAGGTCAAGATGGAAGCGAAGCCCATTCTCACCTCGAATGATAAGAAAATCAAGTTGCAGAAGAAGCTCGAACAGAAAAAGGAGGACCAAGCGAGATCAGTAGAGTTCAAGAATCAGGAACTCAAAGCCAAGGCATCCTCTAGCGCCGGCCCTCGCGAAGCAAGGATTCTCCCCACCCCACCCCCTGCACCTGTGCACAGGGGAAATTCTGCCTCTCGGAGCCGTTCGCCGATTGCTAGGAAGATGCAG